CATCCAGTTCAGTTGGTATGACGCGGACTGCCAGCATCGCAAGACGTCGTTCGTCGAGCCAGCTAATGAGGAGATTGCATCGATCGGTCCACTCAGTGACCATTTGGGCTTCAGTGAGTCGTTGTTTATCGGCTTGCACTGACTGCCTCAGAGCGTCCCACGCGGTCTGTACCGCTTGCCATCGCGTACGAACCTCCTCGGCGCGACTGGGGTACTCCTGGTTCAGGCGCGTCTGTTCTCTAAAATAGTTACAAAATAATTACTGTTTAGTAATTAAAACCCAAGGCAGGGATGACGGGCAGCGAAATGTGCCTTAGGGTGACGAACCTGTCCAGCTTGTCCATCTGTTTTTGCATAGCAGAAATTTCATGACGAAGTTTCTCCTGTTGGCTGCGCGCCTTCTCTAGGCTACTCGCTTTCTGAGCCTCCTCGTCAGCAGTTTTGCCGGACAGTTTGCCAAGTAGGGCGATTCCGATGTTTCGGCTTCGGGCCTGCGGTGACTTTGCTGCAATCCACTCCAACAGATCCTCCGTGTCGGACATGAACTTGTGAATTTGCATTGCTGACTGTAGAGCCTGAAACACAAAGGTTGAGAGTCACGTCTACGGTAAATTACTGTCTATAATCCAATGATTGTTTACAGTGCTTCGGTCTGCAGGCATACACCAATCGTCGTCATTAACTACGTAACCACAGTCAGCAAGGCCACTTCATTTATGCCATTTGGTTTATGGTTTGAAATGACAACGGAATGAAGAGCACAATAATAAGGTACAATGATAAATTCTATATTGCCTTGGATTGAGACTATCTACGGTAAAATCCTTCGTTTTTGAATCCAGAATAACAACAGATTCATAATGTCCCCTCGCTTTGCTTCCTGTCCCCTTGTCATACCCTTTAATTAATAACTATTTTTGCAGAGTTGAAATTATTCCTTTGAGTCAAATCTAAAAATCCTGCCCCCCTTCCCAGGATTCGGGCACAAGGCAGTAAGGAAAAGTTTTCATTACGGTCAACGCTCCAACCATCTGAACTATGAGTCCCTACCAGGAGCCATGATTATAATCGCATGTACGGACAAATTGCCCTATATTACACATGATTTTATACGTAAACTTAATGACCTACTACAAGTCAATATGTTAGATGCCCAAACCCCGTTCCTGGAGAAGAAGAGGGCATGACAACGGACCACGAAAAACTCTTATGGTAACCCGTTATCCTGTGTCCGATAACCCGTCCGAAAATCAAAATGCCTTTTAAGATACGCACCACCGAAATGTCACAGTAGATGGAGTACTAGTGTGTCAAGCTGCCGCACCCAAGAAAACTCGGGAACTTTAAATCGATGTCTTCTTTCTGACTCGGCTGACTTTATAGCGCATAAAACGGAGCAATAAACTGCCAGCTCATTCCGCAGCAGCTGGGAAGGCGGTAACACGCAAAGAGAGCTATAAAGATATCGTTTTGTAGATTTGACGGTAAAGAGCTGCTTTATCACCGACGTTCCCATTTACTAAGTTAAGAACAGAAAAATAATGATAAATTCAAAAAAACGTTCGACACTAACATAGCATAAATTTCTTTTATAGTTAGACCCTCACATATGAACCCTCCAAAATGCAGGTTATTTTCCGGTAAATTACAGGAAGCTTTAAATGCCGAAAGATTCGGGGTCCAGATATGTTATCGCGTTCATCATCGACCAAAGGTAAGGAAGAAGAAGAAAGGGCAGGGTTCATGGATCAAATTATATTTGAACTGACGTGGGGGAGACCAGCAAGCAAATTAACTCACCTACAACTA